GGAAATCGTGGGAGCCATTCCAAAGGAGATGCAGGGATGGTGAGAGGAAGTTGTTGGGACTCCGCTTTTTAAAAAAAAATCAGTATTTATTGGGAATTCTTATGAACCTCAGTCTTAATCCTATCAATAGCTATTAGAGATAGTTTGTTCACTAAGACACAGAAGAATCCTGTTCAAAGTCAGACACCCATAATGTGCTGCAGCTAGCCTTTCATCCTGGGCTTATCTGGCACCAAAGCCCATGTCCTTTTTGTTTTTGTTTTTGTTTTTCCCTCCAGGTCCTGGAGAAAGCCTGAGAAAAGGCACTTAACTTAGAACTTGGGCTTGGAAGTCAGATTGTAGGCATGGGTTCAACGCCCACATACTAGGTATGCCACCGGTTCCTGTGGCCCACAGTCCTTATCTGTATCTGTACTAAGTGATGGTCAAGATGTCCAGTAAAATGTAGTGAGTCTCTTAGCTCTGCAAACCAATTATGTGAATAGGATTTTAGGCTTTAGTATCTCTTTGTAACTAGATTGTCCACATCAGTTCCCTTTAAGTTCATATCTAGCTTGTGGAGACAAAAGGATTTTTTTCCCTTAACTTTTTTTCCCCCTTTTCTGAACCTCACTCTTCTATATCTTCTAGGAGTGTTGTGTTAAATAAGATGGCATATATGAAAGCATCTGGTAAACTAAAATGCAACATCTACATAAGGTACTGTTGTTGTTTTTTTCCTAGGCATTGCTTGTTGGGGTGTAATCATCCTGGCAGACCCCAAGGGGAAGTCCCACCCGTGAATGTGTCATCTGTCCCTGTCTCCATGACACACAGAGCAAGCATTGAGCTGATGGATGTTCTGGACAGACACATGGACATTGGCATACTTCAGTTCTGCAGATACTACATGAATGAAAAGACCAACATTAGTTGGACATTGGCATACTTCAGTTCTGCAGATACTAAAAGACTGAAAAGACCAACATTAGTTGGCAATCTTTGGCCATGAGTGTTTGTGGCCTTCTAGGGCTCCACAAGGACCAATAAATACCTCAGAGAACAGAACTGGTTCTTTGTCTTACCTGGGGAAGAAGAGTATAATAAAAAATAAAATAAAAAAGCCCTGGCCGGGTAACTCAGTCCGTTAAAGCTTCGTCCCAATAGGTCAAGGTTACGGGTTCAATCCTCGGTCAGGGCATATACAAGAATCAACCAATGAATGCATAATCAAGTGGAACAACAAATTGATATTTCTTTCTCCCTTCCTCTCTCTCTCTGAAACCAATAAATTAAAAAAGCGGAAATGATAAGCCAAATGGGAAAATGGACTAAAATAAGTTCTTTTTACTTCAACCATAATGGGTCAGTACCTATTTATTAACCCAACCTTGAATAGGCATGCACTATGCAGAATTATATAAAATTGTATCTGTATACTTCTCACATTTACCAAACATTATCAAATCTGTCACCTTATAAGAGTTTCACAGCTACTCTGAGATGGTTATTTCATTGGTGGTAAGTGAACTTTAAAAAAGAATCCTAGTGACTGGCCCAGGGTTATTCAGCAAGTCAGTGATGGACTTAAAATTTGTTCTTGTCTAGGTGTTCTTGTATTAGTCTTTCAGAACTTGGATGGTTCCAAAGAGGCAAGCAAGAATTACCAATGGAACAACTAGATGATCATATAAACAAACATAGAATAATAGATTGAAATGCCAAAATATTTGAGAGGAATTCAATACCTTTTTAATTAAAAAGTTTTGTCTTCCCCTGCCACCCCCCAAGCACTGGAAATGTTTCTGTGATGAAATTGAGATGCTTATGAGATAAGGACTTAAAATTAGGCAGTTCATATCTAAGAGAAGTCTATTATACCATGGCTTCTCTATAAAGTTATATGCAGCTATTTTTCAGAGCAGAAAGATACTCTTCAGCTGCCAATCACTGTAAATTTTAAATGACACATTGAGGGCTGTTACTTTTTCTAGTATTATATAGATGTGCCTACGTCTGTTAAGCTCACAAGTGACAAAAATATTCTTGCATTGTCTATATTAGCTCATGGTATGGGTGGTACTCTATTTTACCTATGCAATTGAGAAAGATATGTCAACAGAGAGCAAGGCATTATTTGTGTGGAATGCACAAGTTGGAAGGGACCATACAGGACCCAAAGCAGGATATCTTCTTGAGGGCCCATGATACATGATGATTCATCCCCTAAAATATCAATGAAAATAAGTCATTCATGCTTTAAAAGACAAGCCATTCTAATGGACAGCTAGAGTCTAAACACTTTCTTAGGTTAAACAAAAAATACAGATCCAACTTACTTGACCTACTGGATAAATAGAATAATTCAAACTTACATGTACAGGGTGGGGCCAAAGTAGGTTTACAGTTGTATGTGTAACAGTTTTTTCTTGTACTAGTATTTTTAATTATTACTTATTTGTATTACAATTGTAAGCCTACTTTTGCCGACCCCTGTAACTTTAACATCTTTTTCAGAATTTATACTGTAAGGAAATGAGAGGTTTTTCCAAATAAACTTGCCTGCCCACCATATATATTGCCAAACTATATTTGGTTCTTCTCTGCTTGGGGCCATTTAATTACGTGAGAACAAAGTATTGTTCTATCATGTCTATAGGCAGTTATGTGGAAATAACCCCTCCCACCTCTCCCAAATAAGTTAGAATTTGTAGTTAAAAATTGTTTTTCTTTTGAAATGTATTGCAAAATTTGCTTTCTGCCAGTGCCAAGTTAACGATCGTATTTGTTTTAGGGATGACTTGTCTTTAGAGAAAAAAGATATTGCCTTAGTCCTGCAATGCAGAAAGTGCACTTCCTGCCCCTATTATCTTCCACTTTGTTGGGGATGAAGTGGGGTGAGCAGGATAAACGGGCTCAAGAATCAATGGATTATTCACTTAGTAATATAAGAACACCAGCTTAATTATGATTTATGGGCTTTAGAAATCTCTAAACAGCATGGAAATGAGAGTTTATAAAGACTTGTAATTACCTTTAGTAAAGAGGGAGAGAAAAAGTACAAAAATGGATAATTTAAAATGTACTTAGTTTTCCTTGTAACACATACCAAAATGTGCACATACGTGTGAACATTGACATTTTTCATGATGTCCAAGATGCCTATTAGCTCAACCTTTACATAGTATAAATGTAGGAATCTCAAGATGATCAAGAAAATCATGTGATCTCTTGTTTCTTTTGTGTATTTCATTGACTAATCTAGAATCCTGTGATCAACTAGCAATATGTCTGAACATATTAAAGGAACCAGATATAGATTGACCATTAGATCTTGCAGTGTGTTGGGGGAGAAGGGAGGGATCTCACTTTCCCTAGAGACCAACTGCTGAGATAGATAGCTGTGTTGTCAGCACTGGAGTGTTCCAAATACAGATCAATTTAAAAAGTTCTGGAATTTCACCTGGCTGAGACCAATTGCAAAGACAGCTGTTTCTGGTGGCCTAAAGGTTAAGCATTTCAGCCATAATTTATACGTCAATTCCTCCCTCACTGCTTTCTTAAAAAATATATATATTTTGTTATTGATTTCAGAGAGGAAGGGAGGAGAAAGAGAGAGAAACATCAATGATGAGAGAGAATCATTCATCAGGTGCCTCCTGCATGTAACCTCACTGGTGATCGAGCCCGCAACCCAGGCATGTGCCCTTGACCGGAATCGAACCCAAGACCCTTCAGTCCGCAGGCTGATACTCTATCCACTGAGTCAATCCAGGTAGGGCCTCACTGCTTTTTATTACTAGTTTCTCAGCCTGATTGTCTGAATTAGGGGCCTCTTGAATGAAGCCAGTTGCTTTGACAACATAAAACATATTGCTCCTAAATTAAATATATGTTCAGGGCAAGAATATGTTTAAGCACCCCCGCAAACCAGCCTTGTCCTCAACTGATTTACTGCCAGGACTACATCGATCAACCAGACACTTCACAGATTTTTAAGTCAGGAACAGTAAGCAATTTTGAGTTGAAAAAGAAAATTTTAATGACAGATAAATCCTTGCCTTGACCCAATGATTATAAAAGTGTTAGGGGCACAGAATCAAAGGTGAAAGACCTATAATGTCACATCACTCAGAGGAATCCTAAGAGCACCCAAGAAAATATGTCAGGCTTCCAAATGCATGTCTCTGCCTTAGAAATATTCAGCAACTTGTTATTCAAATGTTAATAGAGTGTAGAGAAATAGCCCAAAGGGCAAATGTTAAATGCAGTAATGCCATTAACATGTGACTGAACTTGCATGTGCTTCAGGAATGTGGTGGACAGGATTCTTAAAATGGCCCCCAAGGTTCCCAGACCCTACTGTACATACACTTTCAGTTATTCAACAAAACACCATTTTAGGTGCTGCTGTGAAGGAATTTGCAGATGTAATTAATGTTCTGGGTCAGTTGATCTTAAAATAGGGAGATTATCCAGATTGGCTAATCACCTGAGCCTATTAAATCTTGGTTTAGAGGTTAGAGACCTACTTGAGCAGTCAGAGATTAGAAGTAGGAGGGGAAATCAATGCCTGAGAAGTCTTTCCCAGGCCTAGGAGAAAGCCAACATCTATGTTGTGAACTGCCTATGGGGGCCACTGATTAGGAACTGTAGGCAGCCTGGAGTTGCTGAGTCATCACCAGCCAATTGCTAAAAGGGAAAACGACAATTTCAGTTCTACAACTGCAAGGACATGAACTCTGCCAACAATCCGTGAGCTTGGAAGAGGGCCCTATGAGAACCAAGAACTACAGGCCCAGCCAAGAACTACTTGGTTTTAGCCCAGTGAGACCTTAAGTAGAGTATCTCGCCATGCTGTGAAACTGTGAGATAATGCATTTGTGTTAAGTTGCCAAGTTGGTAGTAATTTGTTACACAGCAATAGAAAAATAATACAAGAAATATTTTGCAGAATCATAGTAATAATAGGTGGCATGCCAGACCAAATACACACGCCCATTGTGGGTATCCTGGGAATAGCAGTAAGGGTCCATCTGAATAGCGTTTGTCTTTACAGCTATTGTCTTTACTTATTCTTTCAATGGTGGTTTTCTTTGGTAGTTTTTATTGTCTGTTTTCTATCAGAACTGTTCCCTGCATTATGCCGAGCGCTTTGCAGGATTGTTTAATCCTCTCAGCAACCCTGCTTTACAGATGAGATAACAGGCCTGGAGCAGGTAAACATTTCCCAAGGCCTCAAGTGATAAACCAGTAGTGGCTTGGAGAAAAGTATTAATTGGGAGCTGGGAATTTGTTTTCTATAGTCACTTTTTTTAGCATCCCTTCTCAAAGAGTTCAGGTATCAAAATTAGAAATCTTGAATTATTTACCATTTTTCCTCGGTTACCCCTTGATTTAACAGGTATCATTAATCTCTTGGTTTCCTTTTTCTTTTTTAATAATTGAGGTTATATCATTTATCACTCTGACAGCAAATTACACATTAATCCAGAACAAGAACTTCTCCCTGAGCAGGCTCATACACTTCCATGGCTTTCCCCTAATTGTTCTCCTGAAACTCAGACCCCATTTCCCAGCCACAGCAGGGGCCCCCACTTGTCTGTCTTCACAAAGCAGAGTCCCAACTTGTCCCAGATGAACTTATCTTTTGTCAACCTACCTCGCCTCTATTTCCTGTCTCTTCATAGCATTTTTATCTCATCAGCTAGCCAAGCTAGGAACTATGATATTATCTATGAATTTCTTTACTCTCATTCTTTACTTGTGATCTGTTAACAAGTCTTTGCTATTTTAACTCTTTAGATAACCAATAAAGTGTTAATATCCAAAATATGTAACAAACTCATACAACTTAACATAAAAAAAATAAGCATTCCAATTTAAAAAATGGGCAGAGAACCTGAATAGACACTTCTCCAAAGAGAGCATTTAAAGATGATGACCAGTGGACATGAAAAGATGCTCAATATCACTAATTAGCAGAGAAATGCAAATTAAAACTACAAGGAGATATCATCTTACTCCTGCCAAAATGGCTATCAACAATAAGTCAACAAACAACAAGAGTTAGGATGTAAAGAAAAGAGAACCCTCATGGACTTTTTGTGG